GGGAAAGAAAGGGCATGGCTTGGAAGTCAGGCAGATCTGGAGATAATGATCCCTCCCTGACAGGATTGTTGACAATATCAATGTATGTGCCCAATGTGGAATAGATACCATTGAGTTTTATATGCTCTGCACCCATTTCTCACTGCCTTTGCTGCTGTCTGCTTCTGTCCTTACCACTCTACCAGATGCAGCATTATCAATGGTTCCCAGACTTTTGGGGATTGTGTTGTCCCTATAATTGTTTGATTTCATAACACTCCGTTCTTCAGAAGGTGCTGTGTGACAGATTTAGGTTTGCTTTAGAACTAAAGTATAGTTAAAAGTAATCTTGTTTTGAGAATTGCAGAGCATTTTGTGATCATCCTGGCAAGACCTCTCCACATAGTGGGAAACCGGAGTTGAGAAGCACTGCTTTAAGGTTCAGGTGACCTTTTTATTGCCCAGAATCCAGATTTTTCTCCCCTTCCTTTCTTCAAGCAGGAGTTACTGAACATCTACAGTGTAGTACCGTATTAGGCACTGAAATACACACCAAAATTAAGAAATAGCTTCTTAAAGGTATAAGATTGTTAGCTGCCAAAGCAACATTGTTACTTAATCAAGATGAGTTGGACGGGTGCTAAATGTCATATTTGTACATAGAAGGCCTTGTGGAGAAAGTAGGGCCTGAATAGGATGTTGTAGCCTGTGTAAGTGGAGGAGACTAGAAAGGCCATTCCAGACAGAAGTACCAACATGAGCAAGGACTTGGAATCTGGGATGAAGATGTGCAGGCTGGTTAGAGTAGGAAATTGGGAAGTGTAACTATATGTAGCTAAAATTTCCTGAGAACTTACTGCAGGCCAGCCCCTGTTTTAGCACTTTACATACTTTCTCATTCGGTCCTCACAATAACCCTATGAGATTGTATTACAGATGAGGAAAATTGGGGCAGGCATAATGAAATAAGAATGCCTTGATGGGGGCTTCCCTGGTGGCGCAGTGGTTGAGAGTCCGCCTGCTGATGCAGGGGACACGGGTTCGTGCCCCGGTCCGGGAAAATCCCACATGCCGCAGAGCAGCTGGGCCCGTGAGCCATGGCCTCTGGGCCTGCGCGTCCAGAGCCTGTGCTCCGCAACGGGAGAGGCCACAACAGTGAGAGGCCTGCGTACAGCAAAAAAAAAAAAAGAATGCCTTGATGGATGGGGCCACATCCTATGGGACCTTAAGCTGGTTTTTTTTTTTTTTTTTTTTTTTTCTGTTGATTACAGTTAGTATTGTCTTGTTACATCTCGTGGCTAAATTAAAAATGAACCATAATCAATGAAACCCGCGTCCCCTGCATCGGCAGGCGGACTCTCAACCACTGCGCCACCAGGGAAGCCCCTTAAGCTGGTTTTGACCCTTCCTCATCCCCTTCATTGGGTCACTAGTAAGTCTAGCTTTCTGACAGTTATTTCTCTCTCATTTTCATTGGCTCTTCTTCCTCCTGCCTGGATGACTGGCTTCCTTAACTAAAGCAACCTAGCTACCAGTTAAGGAAATACAGATGTGGGTGCAACTTTCTGGCAGTCATCCATGGCAGGTTGGTACACCAAGCCAGAAAGCATGAGAAGACTCTCAGCTCTTTTTGAATTAGAGGAGGGGAATGTTGCACTTTGTTAGGGACTGAATGCATGTGTCTCTGCCCAAATTCATATATTGAAGCCCTCATGCCCATGTGGCTGTATCTGGAGATGGGGTCTCTAAGGAAGTAATTAAGGTTAAATGAGATCATACGAGTGGGCCTTGATCTGACAGAATTAGTGTCCTTACAAGAAGACATAGGAGAGAGCTTGCTTTCTCTCTCTTCACATGTGCAACGAGAGGCCATGTGAGGACATAGTGAGAAGGCAGCCGTCCGCAGGCCAGGAAGAGAGCTCTCACCAGAAACCAAATTGGCTGGAATCTTGATCTTAGATTTTTCTAGCTTCTAAAACTATGAGAAAATAAATGTTTGATGTCTGAGCCACCCAGTCTGTGATATTTTGTTATGGCAGCTCTAGCAGAATAATATAAGCGTCCAGAAATGTTTGAAATAAGAAGAGGCCAATGCTAAGATGGGGTCCTTAGTGAAGATAAACAATTCTGCTTGAAAAATTAGCTTTTCTGACCTAGAGCCTTGAGATGTTTATCCCTGACTGTGCTTTTGTGGTCCCTGCTATACTGGAGGAAGCTTTCTTCCCTGTCTGGGTAACTGAGGCAGCTGTCTATGGGAAACAGCCTATGGCTGGTTAGGGTATTTTCCTGTGGGGGATTTTGTGGCCAATTATCACATTCAAGCCTTCCTCTCCCTGTTATTGTCTCTATATGTGACTTGGTTAATGATGAACATCTCCCATGAGAAAGTGGTATCTTTAATAAGGGTTTACTGAGTGTCTACTCTGTGTCAAATATTGTGTTGTGCCTTGGGCATAGGACAATAAAGTCAGGCACCGCTCTTACAGGTCATCTGGTGAGACAGGCATAAGTGGTTCGAAGGTTGTTGAGTGTGGTAAAGAGATGAGAAGTGGCATTTAAGCTGAGACCTGTACGATAGGTAAGAGTTGTTCAAGCCGAGGGAACAGAATGTGCAAAGGCCTGGAGTTGGGGAGCAGCAGTAAGATGAATCTGAGGAGCATCGACAAGTTCAGTATAGTGAGCGGGAGATGTGGTCGACTTTAAGGATTTTCAATCCTG